CGCTACGTCCCCACTTTGTAGCCCACTTGCCATTGGCCCATTATAGCCCACCAACCCAAAACACACTCCTAGCCCTAATCCTCGAGGGTCAAGGACCCAATGTCCCAACACAACCACAATCGCCCCTCTCTCCTACACTCGTGTGGTCATGCCTACTCTGTTTCAAGCGGCCAAGCCATCGCCGCCGCCATTGAGGAGCAATAAGAGGAAGAATTTGTCTATGTCATGTTTAAGGAGAAAGAGGATGGCGCGTCATCGCCACTGTAGGAGAGAAAGAGATGATGGTGCCACGAAGGAAATTAAAAAGGGACGATAATGTCTCTGAGGAGGATGATTCGACCACCATGGATGAAGAAGAGGAGGATGATTCGACCACCATGTATGAGAAAGAGGAGGGTACCTCCATCGCTAGCTAAGGGAAGGACGATGCTCCTTTCGTGGTTGAGAAGGTTGGGAAAAAAGGTGCAAACCACTCAATCTCCTCTTCCCTAGTCCTCATCCTTTATTTGAGTTTGTCATATTTACTCTTTGTCGTTGAAGCAAGGATGAGGATCCCCGCAATGATAGATTTCTTACGTGAGAGCAGGGGTGAGGAAAAATACTCCCTGATGGTAGCGGTAGGGACAGGGATGGGGAGTCATCCCTGATGGAAATTCCCCATTGCCATCGCTAGAGGCAAGGGTAGTGAGCTTTAACATGGAAACAATATATATATAACTAGCAATTTAGAGTGGGAAAAGGTATTTTTGTTTGCATGATAAAAATAAAACAGTATAGTTTTGAGTGGACTAGACATGTGAAATGAAATATTGGGGTTGTTTGGCACTGCTCTAGCTCTAAGCATTATTGGAGTTCTCATCCCTAAGACTCGACCTCAAGAAATCCTTGAAGATTGTGGGTATATTAAGTGTATTTGTCTGAGCAATTGTGCTATTGAGTTTAAATAAATAAATTTGTTAGATACCTTATTTTATCATACAAATTAATTAACTCAATCCATATCATCCATGGATTTCAGAGGTTGGAGCTATGTCATACAATCCGAATGACCAATAAAGATTCTTTTACTAAATAATATACTCCCTCTATCCCAAAATAAATCAACTTCTAGAGTTTCGAAGTCAAAGTTATTTTAAGTTTGACCAAATTTATAGAAAAAGGACACCGATATTTATGCCATATGTGCCACTAGACACACCATGAAATGTATTTCATACTCAACTTATTTAGTGTCGTATATAAATATTATTATTCTTTACTATCAAGTTGGCTAAACTCAAAATAGTTTGACTTATAGTGATTTTAGGAGTTGATTTATTTTGGGACGGAGGTAGTTCTGTATATATAGATGTAGTACATAGGATGATATGAACAGCATGCATACTTTCTGAGACTTTTGAACCTTTTAGTGAGACTTTCTCAACTTTTTAAACAAAGGGAGAACATTACTTAACTCTTTGCTTTATGATTCACTAACTTAGCCAACTCTTCTCATCATCCTAAAAGGCTCGATCCTTACTGCTTCACATCAATAATGATTGCTTGTCAATCCTTCACATGTCTCAATTAACCATGTTCCCCCACAGGTGGGTTCAGACAAAGCCCCCACTGTGATAATCATGAAGAGGACGGTAATCATATTGGGATGGGGTCTTTGCGTGCCTGCGTGCAGATATACAAGTAGAGGCATGGTGCACCTCGCTTCATGCGCGCGCACGGCCGGCCCCCGCGCTTCAGCGTAGCACAACGCAGCACACGCAGTGCAGCTTTTTGCTTTTAGAGCCCTGCCGGCTTCTAGTTTTGTCCCATGCATGTTTCTCGCTGTATATATAGAAATGCACTACTACCCTGCTAGCTCTGATATCTCTCTCTCGAGAGAGAGAGCCTGATCGGAAGAAAGTCCAAAAAGAAACGAGAACACACAAATTGATGTTGAAGTAGGTTTGAAGGCATCCAGGAAATCTAGCGTGGTCCTTTATGTCCGTTCATCAAGAATAGCCAAATGGAGTAGGGAGTCCTGTTCGGAATCCCAAGGATCTTTATATACTCGACACTAAACTCCTTTTTACGTGCATATATATACAAAATATCCAAATTCAATATATAGGGAGTATATATTACACTTCTTGATCATGCATCATGTAGCAGTAAATTATGTGTGTGGATATTTACTGGAGTGTAAAGTACACTTTCCAACCTCCAACTTGCACTGAAGTTCGATTTTCAACCTTCAACTATAAAAACGGATAACAAACACCCTCAAACTATCAAAACCGGACAAATTTGGTCATCGGCTGGTTTCAAAAGCGGTTTTCTATTTTCGGGAGGCACCGAAATTTTATATTATTTTTTTGAGCCTCTTAACGTCCTCAAATGAAAAAACTCAAAACTACAAAGTTGTAGATCTCATTGAGAGCTACAACTTTGGTATAAAAAGTATCTTCATTTGACTTCATACAAAAAATATATTATTTTTCTAATGCGGCAAGCGCTATTATGATGTTGAAATTTTATATTATTTTTTGAGCAACTTAACGTCCTCAAATTAAAAAACTTAAAACTAAAAAGTTGCAGATATCATCGAGATCTATAATTTTTATATAAAAATCATCTTCATCCAACGTCGTATTAGTTCATTTTTATATAAAAATCATCTTCTCACGTGACAAAACAACTTTCGAAAATGAAAAAGCTTGTTTTATATAAAAATAAACTAATACGACGTTGGATGAAGATGATTTTTATATAAAAATTGTAGATCTCGATGATATCTACAACTTTCTAGTTTTAAGTTTTTTAATTTGAGGACGTTAAGTTGCTCAAAAAATAATATAAAATTTCAGCATCATAATAGCGTTTGCCGTATTCGAAAAATAATATATTTTTTGTATGGAGTCAAATGAACATACTTTTTATACCAAAGTTGTAGCTCTCAATGAGATCTATAACTTTGTAATTTTGAGTTTTTTCATTTGAGGACGTTAAGAGGCTCAAAAAATAATATAAAATTTCGGCGTCTCCCGAAAATAGAAAACCGTTTTTGAAACCAACCGAGGACCAAATTTGTCTGGTTTTGATAGTTAGAGGGTGTTTGTTACCCGGTTTCATAGTTGAAGGTTGAAAATCGAACTTCAGTGCAAGTTGAAGGTTGGAAAGTGTACTTTACCCTTTACTGGAGCCACGCTTGATACAATTAGTAAAAAGTATGATAAGGACCTATCACACAACAATTGAACGCAGAATAAGGGCGTTCGGTTATTCAGGAACGGAGACAGGGACCGATCCAACCGATAAATTGTTATACAAATTACTCAATCATTCCAGTCGGAAATAGTTACACGACATCAATCCTAGACAACCGACCAAGCCCTAAAAGTTGTAACGACACTGTTGCCAATATATATATCGTCAAAGCATTTTATGTTTTTATAAATAATATACATATTAGTCATCAATCGTAAAAAGAATGAATTATTTTCTACTCGAAGTACTATTTCTGAGCTCCAGAGGTGCTATAATCAATAATGCTTGTCAAATACAAATACCACTTATCTCTCGAGAGGCGACGAAAGGGGCGAGCTGGAGCCGGTTGGGTGGGCGCTGTCGGTGGCGCCGGTTGGGCAGGCGCAACGCCTCGAGCGGCCGAGGAGCCGGTGGTGGAACGGGGTGGCGCCAGGAGGCTTGGCCGCTGCGGTGGTCGAGCCACACGCGTAGCTGGCCCCAGCGTCATGGCCGGGGCGTGGCGCTCGAATGCCCACGCGAGATGCATATCCGTCTGAAGGTCTTGGAGCTCGCGCAACTCGACGTCCACCTTGATGTGTTCAGGAAGGCCACCCACAAATAGCTCCGCCTTCTGGAGGGGAGACAGATTGCGGACATGGCACAACACGGCGTTGAAGCGGTCGGCGTATTCCTGAACCCTGAATGGTAGATAGGAAGGGGAGTCGGGCGAGTTTGGACAGGCAAGTGCCACGAACCGCCGGCCCGAAGCGCAGATTGCAGAGCTCCTTGAAGCGATCCCAGCTGGGCATGCCCTCATCTTGCTCTAGGGCATAGTACCAAGTCTGGGCCGCGCCGACCAGATGGTAGGAAGCGGGCTAGATACGATCCGAGGCCAGGGTGCGTTGGCCGCGGGAAAACTGCTCACAGTGCTTGAGCCAGTTCAGGGGATCCTCGTAGGTGGAAAATTCGAGCCTGTAGGAGTGGGGAGGAGCCAGGCCGCCGGGGGCAGGGCCTCGGGTGCTCCCAGGTACGACGACGCGCCGGGGTATGGAACGCCGAACAGATAGGTGGGGTTGACGCCGTACATGAACTGGCCATCAGCACCCACCCTGTTGAGGGAGCCGACGCCCTGCTAGCATCTGAGCAGGAAGGGGGAAACAAGAGTTTGGCCCTGATGGATGACTGTATGGAAACTTTCTTGCCCTTTCTTTTGTTTCTGGCTATCTGACCCTTGGGAGGTGAAGCCTGTTTGGGTTTGTGACCATCAAGAGCCTTGTTTAGTCTGTCACTTCTTCTGAGTTTTTTTGCTGAAGCAGGAGTACTGCACTTCCTCTTTCTGCTCAAAGATTTTCTGGTACTGTAATCTTGCTCATCAAGTTGCTCATGTATGACCATGTGATCTTCAACTGGTTCAGGAAATATTTGAGCTCTTTCCTCTTGCATTTGGTTGTTTCTCATGTTAGCATGAGAACTTTTGTTTTTCCTAAACTTCCTTCTGTAGTACACCTTAGTAATCGGGGTGGTTCTTGTTACAATCATACTAGTCTGATGCCTCTGGACCTCCAGTACAAGCACAATGTTGTTAGCAGTCCTTGATTCTAGAATGTTGCCCTGACTTGGGATTGATACTGTAATATTCAGAGAATTGATGCCTAAAGCAGCGAGATCAATGCGGATGATGGAGTCCGGGACGACCAGACTTCCGAAAAGCCTTGAGTCTTGAATGTTAAGCTGATTGCTCATTATCTGTCTAAGGCCAGAGACCAGGATATTAGTGATTACTTCCTTCTGTACTCTGTCATTGTGCTCTGCGGTAGAGGTTTGGCGGGCACTATTGCAAGGTTGTTTGTAATCTGAGAGTTATATTCTTGAGCCCTCTCCTGGTTCACCAGCATGCTGTTCTGTTCTAGGTTCAGTGAATCCACAATCACTTCGGTACTTTGCCCTGCCCCAATATGGAAGTGTTGGGAAATAGAAGATGCTGAGTTGAGAGATGCATAAGAAACACCGGAAACCTGGTCCTGAATCTCTTCTGGCTGACTAACCTGCATCTCACGCACGTGCTCCGTGAACTGGTTGGCCGTATTGGCAATATGATCAGGTTCTCCAGGAACCACAAGCCCCTCGATGGTTTGAACAGCAAGGATGTCAGCTGAGATGAGTGGAGGCGAAGAGCAAGACTCCACAGGGATACAACGAGTGAGGGTGCCGTGAGCGGAGGGAGAGGAAGGGTCACTGGGAGCATTTGGGCCAAGAGACCACTCAATGGCAGCATTAGATGCACCGGCCGCCTTATCTAGTTGTTTTTCCACCGAAGATGATTTACTGGGCTTTGGAGCCCATTTGTGTCTCAAATCAAATCTTCGCTTAGCGCAGAACTTGGCCCAATGGTCATAGTTGAAACAGTAATAGCATCTCAATTTGTTTGTGCAATACGTGGCCATCACTCAGGCATCTATAACAGACACGACTCACAGCCTTGGTTCTAATGAGAAGATCTCTTTTGAGATTTTGAAAGACCCTCTTGACTGAAATATCCCTGTTGACATGATGAGCACCAAGAATCCCCTTAGGAGTTGAATTCGAATGATGCTTGAGGCATGAAGGGATGGCGGGGAATCCAGTCCAATCATTTTGTGAAGGTTGAGAGGAGCCAATCACAGATGGAAAACTATCAACAATAAGACAGAACATGCTTCCAATCTTTATCACCGAGTGAAGTTCCTTAGGCTTGGATTTGAAAGGGGGCGAATCTTGAACAAGCTTCTCATGGAAAACAACCATTTTTGATGAGTTCTTCTTGTTATGCTTGCCAATAATGGGTGACCAGCTTGCCACTTCTTCGAGTTCCCATTTCTTTCTTTCTTTGACCCAATCTTCACCACCATCTCTCCATTAGTGAAAAATAAACATCAAAATGATCTGTGGTGATTCTTTTGAGAGCTCGAATAAGAAAACCCACATCCTTGGAAGCAACTGAGAAGCGAAAATGACGATCTTGCAGATACGTGACATGAAAACCAGCCGGAGTGCCCCCCAGACAACAGTGAAGCACCATGCTGACAGACTGTTCAGTCAGTCTGAAGAGATAGCGGCAAAAGACGGCGACCAGGAAGAAACATCCCTTCAGCGAGGACGAAGGATGGTGAACAGAAGAGGCAAACTTTCGGAACGCATCAGCCTCAAACCACTTACCGACTGAGAAATCCCAGTTACGGACCAGCTCGGCAAGGTGCACATCCTCTTCCAGTTCCACAAGAGCACCAGGGGAGCTAATCCGGCGATTCATCAAGAACGAAATCCAAGAAGAATACAGCCAGGGATGGGGGGACGAGGCAATAGCAGAGCACAGAGGTTGGGTACGACGAGGGGAGCAGCAGCGACCGAGGAGAGAAGAGATAAGTTGCTTACAAAAACTCCATTGGGTGTGGCGACTGGCGAGCGGGTACTCATCAGCGTCGTGTTGCACGGACCAGCCCCATCCCTGGTCGACCCTCAGCAGCAGCGTGGCGGCGAGCGCGAAGGCCCCTTGCGGGTTGTTCTCACGGCCATCGGGCGGCCCGCGCGCCGTGCGCGAGCCACGTGCGGCGTCCGCAGAGGCGGCGCGGTCTAGCAGGAGGTAGGCGTCACGAGGTAGTCAGTGGCGAGGAGCAGGGACTGGAGTTGGTCGGCGTCGCCGAAGATCCGGTTAGGAGGAAAGCGAGCGCGGGTGGGGCCGGTGCCGCGGAGGCGACGTCGCGACGGCCGGGAGCGGCGCGAAGCGGGGCGGCGGAGCCTTGGCCGAGCGCGGGCGGGGCTGGTCCCGCGGGGGCGACGGCTGGGAGCGGCGCGAGGCGGGGCGGCGAGCGGCTGCAAACTCTCTTCCTTTTTGGTGGATCGTCGTACTTCCCGTTGAGTCCGTGAAGAATGTTGAGCAGAAGGGTGCGGTCTGGAATAACCTCCCCAAGATCACCAAGAGCGTCATCTTGCGGCAGTAATCACCAACGGAGAGATCACCCTGGACAAACATGCAAAACTCGGCATCAAGATGTAAAGCGCGAGCTTCGCGACTGCCCAGGAACTGCTCTTCAATGCAAAGCCAAGTATCACGTGCAGTGCGGCCGCGGATGCGAACAGACTGCTGAAGCTCGACGGTGACAGTACCAAACAGCCAGGAGAGCACCGCACAGTCCATCCGGCGCCAGGACGTGACGAGCCACGTCGGAGAGCACGTGATCGTCGAGGGATAGCGCTCAACAGTGGCGGGGCCCCTGACGTGCTGCTAGTCTCTAAGTATATACTAGTTAATATCCATGCATTCCAAACGTGTGTATACTGTGTATTTGCAATAAGAAGCAGCCCATTTACATGAACATGTAATTGCTGCTGTTCCCTTCATCGACTGAATATGAAGTGTCGGGCCTTCTTGGCTTCCTTCATTTCTCGCCTACGAAGCGTCGAGCCTTCCTGACTTCCTTCGTTTCTCGCTTGTTCAACTGTTCGTCTTCTCTTCTGCTTGACTGCTTCGCCGGTTGGCGGACATCGCCACGCCGGTACTGTCGTAGTGGGAGGCCAAACGTGAGACGCCGCGCCATGTCGCCACCGCTATCCCAAATTGACGTCGCCAGGCGCCAGCTGCCGACCTACCGTCCAAATTGCCTTCTGTAGGTTTCCATCAGGCGGTCAGGCCACCAGAAGCAGCAGGTAATCCGTAATCCATAATCATGCAGTGTTACTCTTTTATCTAGTAATTAACGGTCACTAGTATTCTTTTATCGAATTGAGTATAATCTCATTGGTAGTCGTAGAGCTAAATTTAAGATAATAGATGTGCAATTTTCTTTTGGTTAAGATTTGTGAAATATATATAACTATTATATACGTGACTAAAACTTGATATGGTTAACTAGTTCTAGTCTTATATATGCCCCCCCCTATACTCAATTCCTGGCTCCGCCCCCGACGCTCAAGAGTGAGCAAGACAAGGTCGCGCCAACGATTATAGTGGGAGCACATAGGATCGAGGACGAGCGGAACAAAGGAGCAGATGTTTTGAACAGAGGAGCCTGTTCGCTTGCTCATATCTGGCTTATAAGCCATGACTTATCAGACAACGAACAGTATTTTTTCTCACATCAAATCAGCCAATAATATTTTCAGCCATAGCTTATAAGCCAAATCAGCGTAAACGAACGGGGCAAATGTCGCTAGCAGCATCGCTGTCAACAGAGCTGTAGCGGCAACGCGCTCCTGATCGAGGACGGCGAGGGAAGCACGGACACGCTCGTGGGCATCGGCAGTGGCGCGTAAGGCGATGTCAGCGGCGGCTTATAGGGCAGCCTGCGTGGCTCAGCCTCCTTTCCCTGCGCTCAGCCGCCTTTCTCTCGCAGCCTGCTCGCGCTCTGGGGCGGCAGCATCACCAGAGAAAGTAGGCTGAGCCATGGATGGCTGAGGGGAAGAAGCGGAAGGGAGAGGTCACAGGGTCGTGAAGCCTCTTGATAGCATGAAAACAGAGATGTATTGCATCTGTATTGATTTGAAAGGAAGATTACAGAGTTATTACACTTTATAGAAGAGGACTAGAACTAGGACTAGGAAGTAAAGGGGGGCAGCACGCTGGGCGGGCAGGTTCCCAGGCGTGCGTCAGGCCAGCTAACAGTAAAGCAGAGCATTAACCATGGCTGCTGCCCAGTAGCCAAGGCAGCACGCTGGGAAGGTTCCCAGGCGTCAGGCCAGCTAATAGTAAAGCAGGGCATTAAATATCTAACACAAAGGGTGTTTGGTTTCTGTGTAGCCTCAAGGTGTGTGCACATCAGATGTTTACAGTTAATTTGATTAAATATACCATAATTACAAAACTAACACAGATGGAGACTAATTTATAGACGAATCTATTAAGCCTAATTAATCCATCATTAGAGTATATTTAATAAAAGCAGCACCACATTGTCAAATGCACTGGTGGAGCTTAATCAGATGAGGGAGCAAATTAGTCTCCATCTATGTAATTAGTTTTGTAATTAAAATATATTTAATACTCTAAATTAGTGTCCAAACATCCGATGTGACAGAGACTAAAAAATAGTCCCTGGAACCAAACACCCCCTAAGTATGCCTGATAAGTCATATATTTTCCTAGACTCTTTTTTGTCATCGAAAAAATCTACTGTAATATGCTTGCCTCAAGGTGTGCACCTTTAGTAGTTGATGATGGAAGCACCATACCAGGCCCACCTGTAAGTTATACAAGGTTTCTTCTCCCTTCCACACACACAGGGGGAAAAAAATAAAAGCAGAGATAGCATCGCTGCTCTGGTGGAGCTTGCCTCAGCTGAGGGGAGCAGCGCTAGCCCATGGGAAACAGTAAAATGGGTTGGACCAAGAGAGGCAGCGAGATCCGGTGTCAGATCTGGCCTAGCGCCACAACACGGACAACAAGCAGAGGTTATAGGCACTACAGAGGCAACAAAACAGACACTGGCTGGCCTTAGACCCAATGGCAAAAGCAGGTAATTACTACCTCCGGTCAACAAAACATGATGTTTCAGACCAGTAAAACAGTTTTTTTCCCTATTGCTGCACCTTATCTGAACATCAACAAATTTTCTTGACTGGAGGCAGCAGTTGAAAAGAAAAGGGGAGGTGAGAGGGTGGAGATGATTCTTGTGCGAAACCATGTCCCACCCATTTCTCTTTCACTGTGTAGAAACAAGAAACGATTCTATTGTTTTGTTTTCAAACGCCACAACACCCGTGTCACAGATTCTCTCATTTCTTGCTAGAAACAGGAGCCAAATGCCACCTAAGACATTTAAAAAACAATTGATGACAAAACAATATTACTCTAACTGTCCTGTAAGACATGAGAGGAAACAAGATCTAGACATAAAAACGGAAAACTAAAACAGAATACATGAGATGCGACTTTGGCAACGCTACACATAAGGAGGAAGAGGTGAGTTTGCAAGGTCAAGTGGTTCCTAAGAAAGATATCTTCCGCTATCTAGGATTGATGCTACAAAAGGATGGAGATATTGATGCAGACGTTTGCCATAGGATCAAAGTAAGGTGGATGAAGTGGCGCCAAGCATCTAGCATTCTCTGTGACAAGAGGGTACTACAAAAGCTTAAAGGCAAGTTTTATAGAATGACGACTAGACCCGCTATGTTGTATGGAGCAAAATATTAGCCTACAAAAAGACGTCATGTCCAACAACTGAGTGTCGTGGAAATGTGTATGTTGCGATGGATTTGTGGTCACAAAAGGATGGACCGAGTTCGGAACGATGATATGCGTGACCGTCTAGGGGTAGCACCAATTGAAGAAAAGCTTGTTCAACATAGGTTGAGGTGGTTTGGCCATGTCCAAAGGAGACCTTCAGAGGCTCCAGTGCACTGTGGAATCCTAAGTCAAGATACCAATGTCAGGAGAGGTAGAGGAAGACCGAAGCTAACATGTGGGGAGACAATAAAAAGAGATTTAAAGGTTGGGATATACCTAGAGATCTTTGTTTAGATAGGAATGCTTGGAAATCAGCTATCGACGTGCCTGAACCGTGACTAGGGCTCTTGTTGGGTTTTAACTCTAGTCTATCCTAACTTGCTTGGGACTAAAAGACTTTGTTGTTGTTATATATAGACTGTGGCACTGGTAGTATTCGTTTTTATTATCTTTAGGATTGACAACCTCATCATAGATAAACAAAATAACATGGAAAAGAATATGTTCCTATAGTAGATGCATATTTTGTAGGTTAGGACAATGCATGTAGTTATGTTTCACCGATACAACTCACATCCTTCTGATTTTAGATCTGAGGATGGATCTACAGGTTAGTAAATTTGTACTAACTGTATAATCTTAAACATCATGCATTGTAGAAATAGAGATCTTACCATAGGTGCGATTTGCTATAACTACCCTCGCACCCTTTTCCTTTGCCCCATAAGCAATTGCCTTACCAGCACCCCCAGCACCTACAACAACAATAAGCCTACCAGCCAATGGTGAGCTGGCAGCATCCTTTGATCCTGGACCTGTGAAACATATAGCATCTGATATCTTTTCCATGGCACAAGTGTCGAAAGAGAATAGGTAATGTTAAACAAACCTCCAATGCCATCCTCAATAGCAGATATCGCTCCAATGTAGTCCGTATTGTACCCTACTAATTTGCCATCTGGTCTTCTAATTATGGTGTTTATCGCTCCTATTGACTGCATATTCAGTGAATAGCATTTCAATCAAATCGAGAATGATATGTAACTAATAACATAAGCATTTAAAGATTGTGTGCTGCACCCAATTACCTTAGCAACTGGATCATGTTCATCACAACACTGTACAGCACTACTTTGAAAGGAAGTGAGCAACTGCAACATAAGATCATATAGAGTGAACTAAGGAAAATTCTTTCAAAAAAAATATCATTAAAATATGCACATGAAAATGACTTGTTAAAGATTGACACAGAAAAGTCAGTTTTGCTCGTCCAGGGACAATCCATGTTAACTCAGGCCCTAAAGTAATGTCTATTTTGACAAAATTATATTTTTGCCAAATTATACAACTGTATTATGTATGTCATGAAAGTCTGAACTTGAAATAGAAAAGGAAAAATATCAGCAAAAATTTACAGAAGAAACATATAGCTTGGTGCTACCATGCAAACTGTTTTGATTGGGAAATTCTGATTCCAATCTAAGAGACATTAGGTTATGGATCCATCAAATATGCTTTCATGATCTATGAGAAGTTGCTAACAAAGTTCATCCATATGGTCCTCAACTCCACTTAAGGCCTTGTTTGGATGCATGTGTATCTAATTCAATCCACGTGTATTGAAGTAGAATGGAATAGAACTTAGTTTAATTTCCACTTCAACATATGTGGATTGAGATGGATACATGTGCATCCAAACAAGACCTAAATCTAGTCCATCCAAATTACTATTTCCACTTCCAAGTGATCTCCCAACTTGTAAACAAACATGTTCGCTTCTTTTATAATCCGTCTTTTTCAGCTTATTTTTTCAGCCGGAACAGTGTTTTTCTCTCACAACAAATCAGCCGGAACAGTGTTTCGGCTTGTTTTTTCAGCGAAATGAACGGGGCCAAATGTAATATATATATCTTACAATTTTGCAGAACAAGATTTAGTACCTAAATCCTGAAAAGTCAGGAGATGAATATGTCTCAAGAAAACTAGCAAGATTGTCTCCAAGAAGTGGAAGATAAACAGCATTATATCCAATGGATTGAAGACATTTATTGTGCAAAATTGGGCTCTTGCTCTGCTTTACTGGGTTGGCTATAAGACCAAGAACCTTTGTATCAGGCCCAATACACTTTATGTTGTAAATGTCCAGTAAGTCCTCAACTGTTGGTTGTCCAGAAACTGATGTCTTTGTAGCATTCAGTATCCCAAATGTAAGATATCCACCAAACTTGGGCGCTAACCTCTTTCACTCATTACGAGTCCAATCATAGGCACCTGTCATTTTTACTGGCCAGTCAAATGGAAGTTTTAATCCAATATGGCATGAGAAAAAATAACTCTCTAAAGCATAGAAGTACAATTAAGATGAAATGTTATATGGTAGAGATCCAATAGGATCCAGCTATTAGGGTAGGACAGGATTAGTTAGTGATAGGCAGGCCTAGTGCTTATATGGTTAGGATAGATAGATTGATAGATTGATTGATTGGTTGGTTGGTTGTTATCTAATAGGCAAGGATCCCCGCTGGTTCTGTTTTTATAAACATGGGTCATCCTGGCCTATATATATGTAACCTCATATCCCTATAATCAATCAACGATCTTGTGCCTAATCCCTTATGTCATTCGCCCGGGTTTCTCCGAGGCCTTCTTCCGCTGCCTAGGCGTGCCTCCAAGTTGCGTCGTCTCCTCCGGTCATCACCATGCCGGCCACCCCTCCCCCCTCCACTCCTCTCTCTGAGAGCGAATGTGCCACCGCCGCTAAACGCATAGCTACAACCGAGTGCGAGCGCGCCTCACAGGCACGTGCCGCCGCATTTGAGTGCGCTACCGCCGCCGAACGAGAGGCCGAGCTCACCGCTGTGAAGTGGCTCACGGCCGAGGAACGTGAGTGCGCGGAAGCTACGTGGGCTAAGGCCACACGCGTGCCCCACCCCGCCCTAGAGCCCGCTCCGCACTCCCCCCATGACGCCTGCTTCTCCATGAAGCCGCGGTCCTCATCATACTCCACTCGTAGGCCGTCGGTGTCCAGAACATCCGCACTCTTGTGCCCATCCTCGGGCCCTCCTCCAGCCAGTACACCAGGTAGCGCGAACTGTTCCTCCTCACCTTGTGGAAGTTTGCCCTCGAGGACCATGTCCTTCAAGACGACCCCAACCTAGCCTTCCCGGACTAGGCGTGCATGGACGACGTGGTCAAGTCTTGGCTCTACGACGCCATCTCCCCCGAGTTGTCCGCCATGGTGCCATGTTCTCGCTCCACAACTCGCTCGGTGTGGCTGGCCTTGTAGACACAGTTCCTGGGGAACCTGGAGACACGCGCCCTCCACCTTGAAGCCGAGTTCGGACCTTCTTCCAGGGGGACCTCTCAGTCACCGACTACTGTCGGTGCCTCAAAGGCATGGTTGACGCCCTCGAGGACCTTGGCGAACACATTCTCGGCCGCACCCTCGTCCTCACCCTGATTCGCGGCCTCAACTAGAAGTTCGCCTCCATCGGCCTTCACCTTCAGCGCAATTGTCCCTTCCCCACGTTCCTAGAAGCCCGGAACGACCTACTACTAGAGGAACTAAACCAGGCGCATTGGTGGACCACACCCTCCACTTGCTCCTAGTGGCTGCCGATGCTTTGCATGCTCCTCCGACGCCTGCACCCCGTCAGGAGCAACAGCCTCCACCATCCTTGAGACCAGCCAATTCCAAGGGTGCTCCTTCCAATAATCGATGGGGCAAACGTGGTAGCAAACGGGGTGGGTAGCCCGCTACTGCGCCCACCGACAGACAGGGAGGCGCCCCTAGGGCTGGCATGCCTTGGCCTTCCTACCTCCACCCTTGGGCTGGTTCCATATATATGTATGTGTTGCAACCAAAGCAAAGGTTGGGGGTAGATTTCTCATTTCATTAGCCACACAAACCATGGCAGGATTTGGGAATACATATAGAGTAACATACTTGGTCCTTAAGAAAGGATTACAGCATATGCCAACTACTAAAATAGATACTATAGAAGATGTTGATTAGGATAAGACAGATGATAAGGGTACTAACACATGCACCAACTACTCCTAATAGATAGGCACAAGACTTATAGCTATCAATCTCCCCCTAAATCTTGTGTGGCATCTTCTAGGGAATTTGAATCATCCCAATTATAGCGAGCAACTCTTGGAACTCTCCCAAGTGACTTGGTGAGGAAGTCGGTGAGCTGATCCTGGGTATTGATGTAGTTGGCCTGGACACTCCCCTCGTCTAAGCAGCTTTGATGAAGTGGTACTTGACGCGGATATGCTTGCTGCGCTCATGGAAGACAGGGTTCTTTGCCAAGGCCAAAGCAGACTTGTTGTCCACCCTGAGCTCCACTGCATCTCTGCCAAGGAGATCATCCAGCAGCTAAGCTAGCTAGAGAGCTTGAGTCGAAGCATTAGTGGCAGTGATTTACTCCACCTCGCAACTGGACAGAGCCACCACCTGCTGCTTGACCGACTGCTAGCTGATCAAACACTTGCCGAGGAAGAAAGTCTCGCTGGTGCTCTTTGATTGTGTCGATATCGCCAGCGTGGTCACTATCGTGGTACCCGATGAAGTGCGCCACGCCGGGGCACCTCGGGTAGCGCAAGCCATAGTTAGAGGTGCTCATGATGTACTGTAGGATCCTATTGACAGCATGCTAATGCTCCATCATCGGTCACTGCATGAACCGACTGACATAGCCAACGATGAATGCTAGGTTCGGCCATGTGTGGGCGAGGTAGCAAAGGCTGCCCACAACACGCCGGTACTATGTGGCGTCAACCTCCACCATGCTGTCATGGCTCATCTTTAGCCTCTCCTCAATGGGAGTGTGGGCTGGGTTGCAGTCAGTGAGCCCGCCTAGCTCAACAATGCCCTTTGGCGTAGGCGGTCTAGCGAAGGGAGATGCCGGAGCTATCATGGTGGACCTCGATCCCTAGGTAGAAGGGGAGTAGCCCCAGCTCACTCATCTAGAAGGCAGCCTTCATCTCATCCTTGAACACCTCCACCTCTTCTTCCTTGTTGCCGGTGATCACTAAGTCATTGACATAGATGCCCACCAGTAGGGCATTGCCTCCCTTGTCCGGCCGATAGACAGCAACCTCATGAGTGCTCTGCTAGAACCCCATTTGCTTGAGGATGGAGTCCAGCTTGGCGTTCCAAGCTCATGGTGCCTGCTGCAAGCCATAGAGGGCCTTCCGCAGGCGGAGAACCTTGTTCTCCTTGCTGGGGATGACAAATCCCGACGGCTAGTGAGCGTAGACCTCCTCCTTCAGGTCGCCATTGAGGAAGGCAAACTTGACGTCCATGTGGTGGACACACCAACAATCCTAGGCTACCAGTGAGAGGACATGGACGGACTCCATCCACACGACGGGTGCAAAGACATTGTCAAAGTCGACTGCCTCCTACTGGATGAACCCACGCGCCACCAGACGCGCCTTATGCTTGATCACCGCCCCGGCCTCATCCTTCTTGACCTTGAGAATACCCACTTAAGGGTGATGGTGCAGTGGCCGGTAGAAAGATCCGCCAGCTCCCACGTCTGATTCCACTCGACAGCATCCATCTCGTGCAGCATCACAGAATGCTAGGCCATGCCTCCCTCCACCTCAGCGAAGGGGCAGGGCTCTCCATCGTAGTGCGCCAGGTGCAGCTTTGCCTCGAAGTCGTGCATCGCTAGTCCAAGGATGGGTTGCTCTATGAGGATATTTTCCATGATGCGGTAGCTTAGAGGCTTGTCATTGTGGTAGGCATCAACGTGGTCCTCATGATTGGATAGCAGAGTGGCAAACTGCACCGTGCGCTGCTGGTCACGGACCAAAGTCGCCGGTGCCAATCCTGGAGGTGTGGGCACTGCTGGTGTAGGAGGTTGGGGCATGGCCAGTGCTAGAGAGTGAGCAGCTAGTGCAGGAGAGTGGGGCGTAGCCGGTGGTGTAGGTGGTGGACTCGCTGGAGCTGGTGGTGGGGTAGGCGAGCTCGGTGAAGACGAGCTGCTAGCTACCCCCGCTCCCTCAAAGTGGACGTAGTCGACGACAAAATCACTAATCATCAGAGTTGAGCCATTGTCCACCATCTTGCCCTAGGTCTAGCCTCGTCCTTCATCGAACACGATGTCACGTGAGATGCGGACGCACTGTGTCACTGGGTCGAGGATGCGGTAGGCCTTGACGCCCTCTGCATAGCCGATGAAGACCCCTGGCGTGCTCTAGTCATCGAGCTTGCCGACGTGGTTGAGCTCCTTGTTGAACACCAGGCAGCCGAAGACATGGAGGTGGCTGACCGTCTGCTTGCGCCCGTGCAGGCCTCGTACAACGTCTTGCCGTCAAGGGCCTTGGTTGGCAAGCGGTTGAGGATATGGATGGCGGTCATCACCGCCTCCCCCAAGTAAGTAGATCACCGACATCCCCCTCTACTTAAGGAGGGCTCGCGCGGTGGCCACCACCATCTGGTTGCGGCGCTCGATGATGCCATTATGCTATGAGGTGTACGGCGTGAAGAAGTGGTGCTGGATCCCCTCATCGGCATAGTGCGCCATGAACTCAGTCGCCGTGAACTCATCACCGTTGTCTGTGCATAGCACCTGAAGCTTGTGAACGCACTCCTCAGTAACAGCTTGATGGTGCTTGGTGCCATTCGCAGCTGTAGCCTTGGTGTCAAGCAGAACCGCCCAAATGTAGGGAGACATGTCATCGACAAGGAGGAAGAAGCACTAGCCTCCAGGTGTAGCCGGTGTCACGAGGCCACAGAGGTCGCCGTGCACAAGCTCCAGCTTCTCCTTGGCGCACAAGCTTGGTGAGGACGTAGGTGTCGTAGAACTGCTCCACATGCTTGACGCGTGGCATACCCTGCACAATCTCCTTGTTGCCAAGCTGCTTTAGGGCCTCGAAGTTGAGGTGCCCAAAGCGCTCGTGCCACCGCCAAGCATCATCATTGCGGCAGGCCGGGTGGGCTGCAAGACAAAGGGGTTGTGCCACCTGCATGTGAAGGACGTAGAGGCGGTTGCTCCCTTTGTTCACCTTGCCGAGAAGGCGGCAATGCCAATCCTAGATGTGCAGGATCCTATGCTCGATCTCCACGCGTGAGCCATTCTCATCCAGTTGTCCCAAGCTAATGATGGAGTTCCTCAACATGGGGAGGCAGTAGACACCGGTGAGCAGCCGGTGTTCGCTGGTCTTAGCAATGAACACGACGGAGCCAACACCCTTGATCTCCATGGCGGAGGCGTCCCCAAACTTGATAGAGTCTCACATGCCAGAGTCCAAGTCAGAGAAGTACTCCCGCCGCCCGGTCATGTGGTGGGTGGCGCCAGTGTCAAGGTACTAGCCATCGATTTTGTCGTCGCTCGTCCCATTACCGAGGAAGACGTGGGCGCATGGCTCATCGAGGTGGAGAAGAGCGGCTGCAGCTAGTGTGGGAGAGTAGTGAAACTCAATGCTCCCATGTACGAGGAACAAAGCCGGCTCATCACCCTCCTATGCTTGCGCGACGTGTGCCTGACCGCTGCGCTTCGCCTGCTGACAGCCCTTGGCCTAGTGATCGGTCTTGCCATAGTTCTTGCAGATGTCGTCGTGGGTAGCCTTGCGCTCACCGTCAGCACCGTCAGGAGCGCCACCACATGCTTGGGGAGCCTTGTCCCGCTTGCACGACCGATGCTTGCGGCTGCTCGATGAACCCGAAGCCTCCCCCTTCTTCTGCTCCCGCTGACGAGCGAGCCGCTGCTCCAAACAAAATCTTGCCACGGATGGTGACCGGCTCTGAGGAAGGTTACTGCTCGCTGTCGTCGATGGCCTTGAGGCGGCCTATGACATCCATGATCATTAGCTCATAGAGGTCTAGCAGCGTCTCCATTGCCAAGGTGACCTGCGTGTACTTCTTGAGGACAACCTGGAGGAACTTCTCGACGCCTTTCTCCTCATCGATGTCATCGTCGCCATACCATGCCATCTGCTACATCAGGGTGGAGATACGGAGAGTGAAGTCATCGACGTCCTCACCCAGCTCCCACTCCTGACGTAGCTTCTATTGCATGGCTCTGCGGGCATGGGCGTTGCCGATGCATGCCACAGAGATGGCATCCTAGGCGTCCTTAGCGGTCTCCTTGTCTGCGAGGGAGGGCTGCATCTTTGGTAGAATAGAAGCAAGAAGGGCCTCTAGCGCCTGCCGATCCGCCGCCAGCGCTGGAGTCCTTGAAGACGGTCTGGACGATGGGAGGGGAGCTGCGCCGGCCATGGTGACCACAGTGCTGGTCTGGGAAGGGGAGGCGCTGCCTGTGAGGGCTCTGCATACCAGTGTCCTATCCACCCTGGTCGCATCCGTCAAGGCCACATCTGCCAGGGTTGCATGCGTCAAGGTCCCACAGGGCCTGCTCCAGCGTCGCACGCTCCCGCTCCCACTACTCCTCCAGCTCTCGCTCGATCCAAGGGTCCTGTGGGCCGGTCGTCCTGACACACTCGCGTGCCTGCATCCACCCGCACCCTCGTGCCCGCATCCACCTCCACCTCCACGTGGAGGGCTGCAGCTGCCTCCGCTACCACCTTGCTGGCCGTCGCGGTGGCCCACTCGGCCGTGAGCCACTCCGCCTAGGCCACCGCGGCCTGCAGCTGCGCTGCCTCCCGCTCCCTCCTCTCTACGTCCACCCGCTGAGCGTCCTACGCAGCGGCCTGCCAGC